ATGCTTATATTTGAATAAATGTACAACACACTTTGTACAACAGTTGGCTTTGTATAAAAAAAAAAAAACATGTCATAGAATTTATTAAACAGTATCAAAGCAAAACATGTTTAAGTAATAAATACAAAATTATACAATAATTCGCTGGATAAGCAAATATAATAAATAAGCATTGCATGCAGATAGATTGTCATGTAAGCGTTTAACTGCCATTTAACATATTAATGACATGTCTAATGATATGTCATGTATCATTGGGCACTTTTATGTGGGTATACTGAAATTTTTAAGCTTTTGTAGTGGGATACCCACATATTGCGTAGACTACAACTGATTTACAGGTCACATTGGGAAGATCTGAAAATGGAGGGATACGGGCATGTATAGCCTTCTGAAAAGCAGTAGTGAGAATATGAACAGATATTTTTCCTTACAAGTTTCTTGAGGTTCCATGGTGCTGAGAGGAGGGTGGAAGATTCCAGGCAGTTTTTGTAGCCAAGATGGAGAGGTTGAGGCAATAGTGATGATTACCGTAGTGGATGGTAGGCAGGTGGAGGGTGAGCAGCTGGACTGTCTGAGGTCAAGGTAGAGAAAACATTAGTTCTAGGGTAGGGCTTGTCTTTGGAGGTGCATAGAAAAAAAACCCAACTGGTAATCCAGGATTTGGTGCCAAGGAAACAGGTACTAGGAAGCATGGAGGAAAAAGGTAAGTATAAAATTTATTTTATGGAAACACTACGTGACTGGCATCAATACTGATTGGCATAATGCACCAGCAGGGAAAGGAACACTTCCACAACCTCTTATATCCCTGGAGCTTATCAGAGGAAATGGACTATCTGCTGCTCATTGGCACTGCCCAGCACACAGGAACTTGCAAAAGGAAAACACTGGAACCTTACAGTATCCCCCTCTCAAGAATTGCGTCTAGGCAATCTCAAATGATTCTCTGGGTGATCTCTGAAAAATGATAAGATGAAGCTTTCATTTAAAGTGAATGACCTGGGAATCCAATATTTCTCCTCGAGGCAATATCCTTCCCAACTGACCAGGTATTGGTATCCCCAACTTTTGCATCTTACATCTAGGATGAGACTGACCATAAAGCCTGGATGGTTATCAATGAGTCAGGGGGTGGAGGGAGGTTGGCAGGTGGGCACAAGGAACTCACGGATTGGTTCCACTTGGGGAACATGGAAGATAGACTGGATGTGCATAGAGGTGGATATATTGAGTCTGACTGCAGAAAGATTGAGGACTTCAGCAATGGGAAATGGCCTGATAAAATGGGGCTCTAATTTATTGGGTGTGTCCTTTTAATTGATGTCACAGATAAATAGCCATACTTTCTGGCTGATCTAGTCGGTAGGAGCTAAAAAGCAAATCTTTTGTTCTGGTCATTGGTGCATAACAGAGCCTCCTTGGTTTGTCACCATGCTCTTCAACGACTTATGACTGTCTATGCTAGACCAATGGTACGAAGACATCAGACTCCTGACTGGGGAAGAGGGGTGGTGTGCAGCCCAAAAACACCTCAAAAAGTGAGAGACCAGTGGCTGAGGAGGTAAGCGTTATGGGTGTATTCTGCCCAGACATAGTGTTTGCTCCAAGATGAGTTATTGTGAATTACACCCCTTAGGGTGGCTTCCAGCACCTGGTTATATCACTTCTTCTGACATTTAGACTGGGGATGGTATTTGGATGTCAGGCTGGATAAGGTCACAAGACCATTGTAGAAACCCTTCCAGACTTGGGAGATGAATTGTGTCCTTGGTCAGAAATGATACCTGTAGGAATCTCATGAATCCTGAATGTATTGAACCAGAAACTGGTCAGTCTCTTAAGACAAAGGGAAGCTTGGTGATGGGGAATGACGGGGGAGGGAGGGTGTTTGGGGGATCTGTCTTATACCTGAGTGAGCCGCACGAGTGGCAAGGATCCATCCATCCATCCATCCATTTTTTTCCGCTTATCCGGGGTCGGGTCGTGGGGGTAGCAGCTTAAGTAGGGAGGTCCAGACTTCCCTCTCCCCAGCCACTTGGGCCAGCTCTTCCAGGGGAATCCTGAGGCATTCCCAGGGCAGCCGAGAAACATAGTCTCTCCAGCGTGTCCTGGGTCTTCCTCTGAGTCTCCTCCCGGTGGGACATGTCCGGAACACCTCACCAGGGAGGCGTCCAGGAGGCATCCCAACCAGATACTCGAGCCACCTCAACTGGCTCCTCTCGACGTGGAGAAGCAGCGGCTCTACTCTGAGTCCCTCCCGGATGATCGAGCTTCTCACCCTATCTCTAAGGGAAAGCCCAGACACCCTGCGGAGAAAACTCATTTCGGCCACTTATATCTGAGATCTCGTTCTTTCGGTCACAACCCAAAGCTCATGACCATAAATGAAGGTAGAAACGTAGATCGATTGGTAAATTGAGAGCTTCGCCTTATAACTCAGCTCTCTCTTCACCACGACAGACCTGTACAGCGCCCGCTTCACTGCAGACGCTGCACCTATCCGCCTATTGATCTCACACTCCATTTTTCCCTCATTCGTGGAAAGGATTGTTTATTTAAAATAATCAAGTGTGACCTGAACTGAGTTTTTGGTCCACCTCAGCGATCACTGAGCGACCCTGGCCACTGGGAAATGCCCCGATGCTCCTGATGGCCAGTCTGCTCCCGGGATTGGCTCAGTAACCATATCATCAGT